TGCGGGCGCACCCATCGGCAGCGTTGCCCCCTGCAGTGGGTTTCCTGGCTGGCGGGGCCACGGGCCCCCAGGGTCCGCCCGGCGCCCGGCTCCCTCCGCGCGCGGGTTGCCCGCCGCGTAGGCGCTGCGCGGGCGACCTTCCTACGCCTGCGCAGCAGCCTCGCAGGCTGCGTCGACTTCGTCGCCGTGCGCGTCCTCGCCGCGGCGCCCATCTGCCGCGAGGTGCCTCCACATCGACCTGGCCGTCGACGGAGAGCTGGAAGCCGGCGCGCCTCGGGCCGCCCTGCGCCGCGGGAGGTGGGCAACGCGACGGGGCGAAGCAGGGCCCCGACGGCGCAATTCTCGGGCTGCGGGGCGAGCTCGGCCAGCTCGAGCAGGTCTCGCTGGGCGGCGCCGCCCGCCGAGTTGGAAAATCCCATTCGCCCTTTCGGGCGCGAGTGGTTCAGGGGAGTGGTTCATCATTGCCCATTATGAATGCGCCCCCCCCGGGCGACCCGGGGCCAGCCCGGCGCCGCGCCGACCCGCCCCCCGCCATCGCGGTAGGAGGAAGAAAAAGGAGAAACAAACAAAACAAAATCACTCCGATGGAAGGACCCCACATGAGAATCCTCTGGGCGAATCTGGAAAAAGCGGATCGAAATTCACAAATGTGGCCCGGGAATGACGCTCTGGGAACACGGCGAACACAAAGTGGCCTACAGTTGGCTCCGGACATCCAGAATGTGGCCCGGGAATGGTGTTCTGGGAACAGGAAGAACACGAAGTGGCCTACAGTTGGCTCCGGGGTTTCAAAATGTGGCCCGGGATTGTTGTTCTGGGAACACGAAGAACACGAAGTGGCCTACAGGTGGCTCCGGGCATGCACAATGTGGCCCGGGAATGGCGTTCTGGCAGCGCGAGAGCCCAAAAGTGACGACAGTTACAGGGTTTGGATGACCCGCTCGGATTACCAACATGATCTGCGGGCCCCATAGGGAGGGGGCTCCCGCCTGAGACTTCCTCACAATTCACTCACAGACGAGGCTCCCGCCTGAGACTTCCTTCAAATTCAGGCCTGAAGAGCCCAAAAGTGACGACAGTTACAAGGCTTGGATGACCCGCTCGGATTACCAACGTGAAGCGCGGGCCCCATAGGGAGGGGTTCCCGCCTGTGACTTCCCCGCAACTCACTCATAGACGAGGCTCCCGCCTGAGACTTCCTCCGTACTCAAGCTTGAGGAGCCCAAAAGTGACGACAGTTACAGGGTTTGGATGACCCGCTCGGATTACCAACATGATCTGCGGGCCCCATAGGGAGGGGGCTCCCGCCTGAGACTTCCTCACAATTCACTCACAGACGAAGCTCCCGCCTGAGACTTCCTCCAGGTGGGTATGTGAATGAGTGAGCGTGTGACAGAGTGCGAGTGATGATGATGATGATGATGATGATGATGATGATGATGATGATGAACATGTGAATGACTGAGCGTGTGAGAGAGCGCGAATGATGATGCTGATGTTGATGATGAGAGAGTGTGAGTGAGTGTGAGTGTGAGTGAGTGGTGATGATGATGATGAGTGAGTGAGTGAGTGAGTGAGTGAGTGAGTGAGTGTGCGAAGGCAGAAGAGGAGAAGGGGTGGGGTGAGTGTTCCTGCGCGGGGTGTGCAGAGAAAACAAGAAATCCACTTTGGACGTAGGGAAAAAACACTCTGCCTCCACCTTCGGAGCGCGCGCGGCCAACCCGATGCGCCGCCGCCCGCGCCACCCCTTGGGCCAATGGGCATGTTTGGGCAAAGTCTTGGGCCATGTTCGCGAGGCCCGCGATCACTGTGCATTGTTGTTTGTTGACGTGGGCGGCGGGGGCGCCAGCGCATTCCCTGCCGCGCGCAGGGCCACCATCCCTGAGAACGAACAACAATACAATCTGCACCTCGTGGCTAGATCTGGATCATGCGCGGCCATCCCGCGATCGCTGTCGAATGGTTTCTGAAAGGGGCGGCGGGGGCGGCGGCGCGTGGCCTGCTGTGCGCAAGCCCACCAGACACAACGATGGGCATCTGTCATCGACATGCAAGGCGGGGCCCGACATGTTTCCCGACGCGTGCTGTCACGTGCGCAGACGCACCTGGCGCACTCTGCGCGTGCCCCGAACGCGGCGCACCTGGCGCGGCCGGAGTGCGCGGCGCACCTGGCGCACTTGGAGCACGTGGCGCATCTGGCGCACCAGGCGTGCCCAGCACGCTCGGGCCCCAGGGGTGCCTGGCGCGCATGGCGCCCCTGGCACGCGCGGCACACCTCGCCCACGCGTCGCGCACCTGGGGTCGGCTTTGGTTCCCAGTAGCTGCCCATCCAAAGACGACCGCTGAACATGCTCAAGGTCGGGTGTTAGTTGTGTGCAGGGAGGGCGGGTGGGAGTGAGCTAGGCGGCTTGCGGGCGGGCGGGTAGCTTGACCCCCCCCACCCTCCCCCTGGGCCTGGAGGGGGGGGGGGGGGGGGCGCGGGTCGCTGGAGTGCCCAAAACGGCCTCGGCGTGGAAACCCAAATCATAAGTGTTACTAAGGTTTTGGCCCCATCGTGGCCTCTCGAGAGGGGGCCAAGTGACGTCGCGCTCCTTTTTGAGCCGCGGCCTCCAAGATGGTCTCGGGAGCGCTCCCAAGGCTCCCGAGAGCGCCTCACGAGGGCCCCAAGAAGCGCCCAGGGGGCCCCAAGAGGCGCCCAAGAGGCCTCCAAGAGGCTCCTCAAAGGCCCCCGGGACCGCCAAGAGGCCCCCCAGACGCCGGAGAGGCCCAAGTGAGCCCCGAGACGGCCCCAAGAGCGCCCAAGCATATCCCGAGAGGGATCCAACAGGGGCCCTTCCTCTGCGTGCTGCCCACTTCTCTGCCCGAGGCAAACCCTCTAGGCATCGTCCCTGGATAGACGGCCCCCCCCCCCCCCTAGACTGGCTGCTTTAGGATGGGCTGGGGGGGATTCGCGATGCGGATCACCTCGTCCTCCGCGTAGCTCTCGGTCAGCCTCGCCAAGCAAGCGGGGGCGGCCTTCGCGCAGGCCACATCTGCCGGCATCTCTTCGCCGAGGGCTGACCGCAGCGTCGCCGAAACATCGTCCACGGAGGCGAGCGAGCCGGCGTCGCGCGGGAGACAGACGGCGGGCACTACGATCAGGAGCTCCTCAAGCCCGATGTCGCGGAGGCCGTCCTCGGCGAGGCCATAGATTGCGACGGGGCCGTCGAGCTTGACGAACTTGGCCCCAACGACGCAAGCTTCGCATCGCTCTGCAGTGCCTGCGGCGAGGGTTCTTGCTATCGGCAGCCCAAGGAGCCATGGGCGCAGCAGGACGCCCCCACTCTGCTGCAACGCGCCTGCAGGCAGCGTCGTCATTGCGCCCTGGCCCAGTCGAAGACCTTGACAGTGTATGTGCAGTGCAGCCCCGCTGCTCGTCGAAAAGCCTATCGATTGCCTCGCCCACCGACGGGAACCGACGCAAGCGATCCCGCCCGCTAGTGTACTTGCCGCCTCCGGCCATGACCACGATCGCCTGCCACGCGATCACACCGCCCCTGTGCACACCCACGAAGTCCTCGCTGGAACTGGGGCCGTAGCGAAGCTGCCAGCGGCAGCGGCGGCCTGGACCACAGATCCGGCACCTGCCGCCCCGCTGTCTAGCCTGCGTTGGGTGCTCTCTGGGATGACGACCCAAGGTGCGGCCTCCAGGTCCTCAGCCGTCTCGGATGCGGCCTCCTCGCCGCTGGGAGGGGGCCTGGACCAGGCCTCGAATCCAGGCGCTGGCTCGTGGACTGCCCACGCCCTGGCCGCGGGCCCTCCTCGCATCAACCGCGAGCTCGCCCGGCGCGCAGCGCGGGGCGTGGTTGGGCCAAGGAGCCTGCATATCACTTCCTTCTACTATCGAAACCGCTGTGCTCACACTATCATCATCATCATCATCATCATCATCATCATCATCATCATCATCATCATCATCATCCTCATCCTCATCCTCATCCTCCTCATCCTCATCATCATCATCATCATCATCATCAGCATCACCGTCATCACCGTCATCATCATCACCATCATAATCATCAGCATAATCAAAATTATCCCAGTGCGACCCTACCTAGGAGTTGGAGCATTTAGGAAAGCAACATCTACATCTACGTCGACAGCTACATTTACATCTGCACCTGTATCTATGCTGTGCTATGCTATGCTATGCCATGCCATGCTATGCTATGCGATGCTACGATGAGCTATGATGAGCTATGCTATGTTTGGCTATGCTATGCTATGCTATGCTATGCTGTGCTAATGCTGCGCTGCGCTATGATGCGCTGCGCTAAGCTAAGCTAAGGTAAGCTAAGCTAGGCTAAGCAAAGCTAAGCTAAGCTAGGCTAGGCTAGGCTATGCTAAGCTAAGTTAAGCTAAGCTAAGCCAAGTTAAGCTAAGCTGAGCTAAGCCAAGCTAAGCTACACCAATATGAGATAAGCTAAATTAAGCTAAGCTAAGCTAAGCCAAGCTAGGCTAAGCTAAGCCAAGCTAGGCTAGGCTAGGCTAAGCTAAGCTAAGCTAAGCTAAGTTAAGCTAAGCTAGGCTAGGCTACGCTCAGCTATGCTAAGCTAAGCGAAGCTTAGCTGACCTAAGCTAAGGTAAACTAAGCTAATCTAAGCTAGGGGAACCCAGGGGGCGCAACTGGGGGAACCGCGGGGCGGGGACTGGGGGAACCGCCCGGGGCGTTTTACACTGCCCGGCCCCTTTAAGCAAACAAAGTAAGAACCCTCTAGGCAGAGCCTAGGTAGGGAATCATCATCAGCATCAGCATCCCCATCGTCATCACCATCACCGACAACACCATCAACATCATCAACAGCATCATCATAATCACCATGATAATCGTTATCAGCATAATCAGCATAAACATCAACATCAACATCAATGTCCTCATCAATGGCATCAGTACCATCATCAGCAGCATCATCAACATCATCATTATCATCCTTGCACCATACACGAATGTCACCTTAAAGCGCACACACATCGAGAATACCAGAATCCACTGTTCGGGACCCAAGCTGGCAACCTATGCCTTGTGTAAGCTTCGAAGCACCTGCTGCGGGGAACTCATAGCGGTGTGCCCTGGGGCATTTTGGCGTCTCGATTTCGATACGGTCTTTCCATCGGTAAGCGCTGACATCAAAGCTGGCTCAGGCGTCCGCCGAGTCCTCCTTGCCATCCGAGTCTTCCTGGTCGCTCGAATCGTCCTTGTCCTTGTCCTCCGCCGAGTCATCATTGTCGCCCTTCTCCCCCTCCGACGAGTCCTCTTCTCCCTCCGTGGCCTCCTTGCCGTCCTCCTCGTCGCCCTTCGCGTTCTCCTTGTCCTCCTCCGTGTCCTCCGTCTCGATGACCTTCTCCTGGTCCTCCGCAGGGCAAGACAAAAACAATGTGTTTCGTTTTCGATATGTTTTCGTGTTCATTCGTTTTGTCTTCGTTCCGCCTTCGCTGCATAACGAAGTCACAACGACAACGACCCACGAGATCGCCAGAACACCGTTTAGGTTGAGCCCTGGTCCTCCGCCTCCTCCTCCTCCGCTCCCGCGGCCGCACGCTGGATCTTCATGTACAGGTGGTGCTCGGCTCCCTGCTTCCGCTTGGTTGCGGCCTTGACCCGGTGGCCAAGGTGCTCCAGAAACAGCTTGGTGTTCTTGTGCCACGGGATGTTGTTCACCTTGATAATCTTGTCGCCAGGCATAATCTTGTGAGACGGGTTTTCCTGATTCCACTTCGCGACCGCACCGCTCTTGCGGATCTTTCCGATAGTGGCTGGGATAGTGTCGTCGGCATCCTGGTTCAGCTGCCAGCCCATGAGCTTGCTTTGGGAATCCTTGGAATTCTTCGGGATCTTCAGCAAGGCCGTAAACTCAAGCGACCCGTCCTCAAGCTTCGTCTCAGGCACCTCCATGGCGGGGCGCTGGATCTTGACGTACAGGCGATGAGGTGAATCCTTCACGCGCTTGCTCGCAGCACGAATCTGCTTGCCAATGTGCTTAACGAACAGCTTGGTGTTGTTGTGCCACGGGATGTTGTTGACCTTGATGATCTTGTCGCCCGGCTTGAGCTGCAGCCTGGGGTTGGCCTTGTTCCACTTGGCCACCGTTCCCCCCGGGCGCACTTTGCTGATGGTGGCGTGGACGTTGTCATCGTCTCCGTGGCTGAGCTTCCAGCCGAGGGCTTTCTGGTCGGAGCCCTCCGGGATCAGTCAACCAAAGGGGCCCCAGGGCACACACATAAATACACACAAATAAAAAGACTTCCCATGTTTTCCCATATGTTCTTGGTTTTTGTCTTCCCCCCCACTTCCCATATCTTCGCATACTTTCCTGGGAATCGACGATTCATTGTGTCTGTGTGTTGTTTCCCCTCCTGGTCAACATCGAGTCGGAGGTCAGATCGAATCGAAAGGCGCGTCGGATCGGGCTGCCTCGGCACGGCGTCGAACCGACTCGGATCGGCTGCGTCAGGAGACATCACAGCAGCGCCTATGCAAGCATCGGGGCCGAAGACGAAGCCAGGAAGAGGATAAATTCGTGTGAGGATAAATCGAGAATCTCTGAGGTCCGACGGCTCTGAGATGTATCGGGCACCGCGGCGTTCTCAGCTCGTTCCAGAACGCTCTGAGAGCGCTCTGGAACGCTCTGAAACGGACTTCCCGTCGTCCCAGCCCCGTCCGAGGGCCGCACCAGCTCGGCAGAACATCGGGATCGAATCGGACAGAGCCGGCCTCAAGCGATGTCGCACCTGCTCAATCGGATCGAGAGGTTCGGAGGCAACTCATGGGAGCCTTTCATACTATCTTGTCGGCTCTTGCGAATCAACGCTAATCGACGCTAAGTCGACGCTAACTGACGCTAAAGCGACGCTAATCGACGCCGACCGACGCTAATTCGGCGCTATCTCATCGACTCCAAACGCTGATCGACGCACATCGACGCTAAAGCTAAAGATGGAATTAAGAGGGCATACCAGGCCCCAATGATATGCCACCGAAGATCGGGGGCGCGCAAACATGGATTAGGGATCCATGGATTTGGCGCGCGGTCGCCAAATCAATGCATTGGGGGAGGCGCCCTCCCCAAAATGCGGCCGGTGCCGCCTCGCTCGGCGGTGGAAATCCGCGATTCCCCAAGGAAACGGGACCCGTCGCTAATCCACGTCCCCTTGATCCATTTTTTCGATCGCCTGAGATATGCCACCGAAGAAAGGGGCCCTGGGTCCTCTTGGGGGGGAACGAAAGGGGGGGATAGCCAAGGGTAGGGTAGAGAATCAGCTCACGTAGCTGATTTTCCCAGCGCCTCCCGGCGCCGGGAGGCGCCCATGTATCGAGGAATGGGCCCCGCGGCGGGGCCGAAACCAGCTGCATGCAACAGATGTCGTGACCACCCCCTTCTGGCCGAAGGCCTGCGAATTATTTGGAACCCACAGATCGCCAGAACCCCCTATAGGGAATCTGGCGCCCTATGGGTTTCCCAAAACTCGGAACGATATGAAACCCACAGATGGATGACTCCCCTTATGTTGCACCCGTCGTACTTCAGGACCATATCCCAGGAATAATTTCGGGCTCCCGGAACGTGCCGAAACAGTGTCGAAACGGTGTCGGACGAGTGTCTCCCAGGGCCCGACGCGTGAGAACCCCTCGAGTTTCGGTGTATTGTTGCTGGTGCCTGATGTTCTCTCTGGTGATAGAGGCTAAAGTAGGTTGGAACATCATTTGAGCAGGGACCGACCGTCCCGACATTTCTACAGTCCTACCACGAAATGTTCGTAGAACCCAAACATGTTCTAAGAAGAAAAACAACGTTCTTAGAACAGAAGCCCGATGTGGCAAAACAAGACAGACTCCGCCAGAACTGTTCTGAGAACATCTCGTGGCAGCCACACCAAGTTCTCAGAGCATTGTGCGGTAGGGCTGTAGGCGAGCCAGGACGCTTCGCCGCTCCTCCTCCTCCTCCTCCTCCTCCTCCTCCTCCTCCTCCTCCTCCTCCTCCTCCGATAGGACTGCGACATCTTTGACTCGCACCAAAAGCTCTCAGAGGATAAAGGTGCCTCTGGAGGGCCACGTAGGGGCACGCTTTGCCCCAAGGGCGGGCCCCCTTAGGTCCTCCTCCTCCTCCTCCTCCTCCTCCTCCTCCTCCTCTCCTCCTCCTCTCCTCCCTCCTCCTCTCCTCCTCCTCCTCCTCCTCCTCCTCCTCCTCCTCCTCCCTCCTCCTCCTCCGATAGGACTGCGACATCTTTGACTCGCACCAAAAGCTCTCAAGAGGATAAAAGGTGCCTCTGGAGGGCCACGTAGGGGCACGCTTTGCCCCAAGGGCGGGCCCCCTTAGGTCCTCCTCCTCCTCCTTCCTCCTCCTCCTCATCCCCCTCCTCCTCCTCCTCCCCCCCCTCCTCCCTCCTCCTCCCTCCTCCTCCTCCTCCTCCTCCTCCTCCTCCTCCTCCCTCCTCCTCCTCCTCCCTCCTCCTCCTCCCTCCTCCTCCTCCTCCTCCTCCTCCTCCTCCTCCTCCTCCCGAGGAAAGCATCGTCCTCGGGGATCCGCAGCAGGGCCGTGAACTCGAGCGACCCGTCCGGCAGCGCCACGGGCCCCCGGACGTGGAGGCCCGCGGCGAGGCGCGCGCCCAGGGCGGCGAGCGCGAGCGCCGCGGCGCCGAGAGGGGTGGGCATTGCCTCCCACGGGGGGCCGGGCGAAGTCGGGCGTGTCCCCCCAGGGGGGAGTCTGGGCGACAGAATCCAAGATGCTCGAAACATACACCCCCGGTGGGCAAAAATAGCCAGGGCATCGTCACCCCCGGTGGGCAAAACTAGCCAAGGCACTCCTCCTGAAGAGGGCAAGCTTGTGCGCGCCCAGTGAGCAATCGGAGCCCAGATCGGAATCCCCCAGCCGAATCGAAATGGAGTCGGAGTCAATCGAGATCGACTCGAATCGAAGCGGGGGAATCAAAAGGAGCCCTGTCTCGGTATCGGGAGCGGCCAAGAGGGGGGTGTCCAAGAGGCGGGGGTGCAAATCGTGGCCGGCGGCATGTTCGCGGCCCAGCGGGGGGGCCAGGGACGTGACGGAACAAGAAGAGGCGCCATGAAACCTGGGGAAATATCATGGCCCCCGCCATGATATCCACCCCCCCTAGTCATCACCTCCCTCTTTTCCGCCCCCACTACAAGGGGATTTTGGGCGACAGATCAAAGATGCTCAAAACATAACCCCCGATGGGCAAAAATAGCCAAGGCATCGTCACCAGACTGTTCTTTTTTACTATTTTTGAGTACTCCTCCTGAAGAGGGACAGGCCCGACTCAAGGGCAGGGCGGGATAGCAGGGTGCAGTGAATGGATGCCGGTCGGCGGCGAGCGAGCGGGGCAGCTCAAGGTTCGAACTTCGAGGTGCGAAGCTTTCATTCATCGTTTTCGGCCTCTGGGGGCCGTTTTCGGGCCCCGGGACCTCCGAAATTCGATCCGTGGTGAAAGACCGCGTCGGATGGACCCCAGGAGAGGTCCGGGGATTGGTTTTGACTCATTGGGCGGCGCGCAGGGGGGGGGGGAAGTGAGAAGGAGGAGGCCTTCTCGGAAGGCGGCGGGACTTCTCAGAGGCCCTCGCGCCTTCTGAGGAGTTTCCTGCGTCTTCGGGGAAGGCTTAGGAAACTTCTCAGAAGGCCGAGGAACTTCCGACCCTTCTGAGAAGGCCGTCTCCTTCTCCTTCCCCCCCCCCCCCGCCTCGCTCGCCGCCGAGCTTGGCAGGCTGCTGCTGCCCGCGTCGGGGTGGCTTGGGCCAAAAGCTTACGGAGCGTGAGAGCCCAGTGGTTGGCGAGAGGGTGGGGCAAGCAGCAGGCAGGAGGACGCGGAGCATGGCCCCAAACTCGTGAGGTGGCCAACGAGGAAGGGATGAGAAGGAGGAGGAGCAGCAGCAGCAGCAACAGCCGCAGCAGCAGGGCAGAGTGAGGCGGGGGACGAGGAGGAGAGAAGAAAACCACGAAGGACAGTAGCCCGCCCAAAAAAAACAACTCTGAGAATCAGAGAGCCGGAGCTCGGAAGAGGGCCAGTTGACGCAACGACGGGCGGGTTCCCAAGCAATCGACCCAGTGAACCCTAACGGGCAGGTCGGACGGGCGAACCCTGGCAGGCGGGCTGGGAGAGCGGGCAGTTAGATCGGGGTAATGCGGGATGACGATTAATAAAAAATGAGGGGGGAACGATTAAAAAAATAGTTTCCTGCTATTTCTGCACAATTTTCTCACTGGCGGAGAACGATTAAAGGAAATAGTTTTCCAGCCCGCGGCCGGTTTTTTCCAATCGTCATCCCGGGCGCCGCCGCGTGAACACGACCCCCGGTCATTTATTAATCGTCATCCTCCATTACCCTTGTAAATTGCGAAGAGGCATCAGGCGAGAGCGCGATTCCCAAGTAAGATGTGAGGACTCCCTGTGCGAGAGCACGATTCCAGATAGACGAGCACGCCAATCCGAAATGAATGATCGGCAAGTAAAAGGCGAGTCCACGACTTTTCAATAAATTGCTAGGAGGTCTCGCGCGAGAACGCGATGCTCGAGTAAATTGGTAGGTAGCCTAGGGCGGGAGCCGTTGTCGTTGTAGCCAGGCGCCCGACCGCCACCACAATTTGGAGCCTCAAGACTTCCCCTGCGAAAACAAGGGTGCGAGAGCCGGGGGGGGCAGTCCACTGGAAACTGCAAAAGCACCGGACAGCGGGGGTGATCAACTACACCCCACCTTCAGGAAGTGGAAGATCAGCAGCAACAGAACTCGATCGTCGTCCTCCTCGATGCTCCTCCACCCCCGCTCTTCCCCACACGTCCGACAAATGTGACTGCTTCGATCCGCGCTCCCGGCTCCCCCGGCCCCCGTTCCCCCGGGGGGCAGCTTCGCGCCCTGGATCTACGTATTCACGATGGTCCTGGGGCCTGGCAGCGGCCCCCCGGAAGCCAAACTTGCGGCCGAAACGCCGCGATCGGAGGAGGAGGAGGAGGACGAGGAGGAGGAGGAGGAGGAGCAGCAGGAGGAGAAGGAGAAGGACGAGGAGGAGGAGGAGGTGGAGGAGGAGGAGAAGAGGAGGATGAGGATTGGGAGGGTGCGGCTTCAGGACCACGCGGTTCGCGAGGCACGGCCAGGCGGGGGCAGGCCCAGGCACCACGGCTTCACGCGAGCAGCCACGCCTGGGCCGCCTCGGGCCGCGTTCTTCCTCCTCCTCCTCCTCCTCCTCCTCCCCCTCCTCCTCCCCCTCCTCCTCCTCCTCCTCCTCCTCCTCCTCCTCCTCCTCCTCCTCCTCCTCATTTGTCCCCCATCACCGCCTGGGGGGTCGATCTTCGGGGACCTCGGCATGCGGTGGATGTGGATATGTGTGCGTCTCCCCCCCCTCTGGGCCTGAACACATCCATGTCCACCGCCTGCCTTGGTGCGCAGAGATCGATGAGGTTGACTAGTAAATGTTCAAACAGGTCTGTGGGAGCTTCCGCTTGTTCTTGAGTTGACTAGCTGATGCTCAATCGGCTTTGGCTGTTCTCGGCCTCCCGGGGCCCTCGCCAGGCCCCATGCTCAAGGACACCGTTCAGAAATTACCCGCGATGAGAAGCCAGTCCCCCGGAAGGGGTCCAGACCTCTGGGGGGACACGTAAACACGACGTCGGCTGCCTCCTCCGTTTCCTCCTGCTCCTCCTACTCCTCCTCCTCCTCATCCTCCTCCTCCTCATCCTCCTCATCCTCCCCCTCCTCCTCCGCATCCTCCTCCTCCTCCTCCTCCTGCTCCTCCTCCTCCGATAGGACTGCGACATCTTTGACTCGCACCTCAAGCTCTCAGGGGATAGCGGTGCCTCTGGAGGGCCACGTAGGGGCACGCTTTGCCCCAAGGGCGGTCCCCCCTTGGGCCAGCGCAATCACCCCGCAGAGCCGCTGATAGGCGCTGCCTCGCAGCGCTCACGTAACCATTACCTATATATACATATATATGTAGATGTATATATACACATACATACATATACATAGATATGCATACATATACACATATAGTGATACATACACACACATATATATATATATATGTATATGCATTCCATTTTCTATATTTGTACCATCCGAATGGTGGGACCGCCCCCCCTGGGCCGGACCTTCCAGAATCCCCGCTTCTGGGGCTCCGGGACGTCCCTGCCGAGGGTCCCATGAGACCTCCAGGCTCCTGAGAGTCCCTACCAAGTCGTGCAAACGAGCCGACGGTAGCCCCAAGAGGGTCCAACATGACCTCCTGATGGCCCAAGGGACTTTCCAAACGCCCCAAAGAGCTCCAAGAGGACCCCAAAGTGGGCCTCCAAATCCAAAGCCTGTGCGTTTCCCATAATTGTTGTTCTTTGCGGCAGTCTCGCTTTTTCGTGTTACCGACGCCCCTTGAAGGCCCCAAAAGCCCCAAACATCGCCCCAGGACAACGCATGACGGCCCAAGAAGGCTCCAAGACGGGCGAGGGCGCCCCAACGATCCCCGAAGAATGCCGAATGACAGGCCCAAGACAGGGCCATTCCCTTCTCAAGGGCCCTCAGAACGCCGCCAGGCGCGAGCCCTGTGGCCCTGAAGAACCCACGAATCTGCCAACAGGCGCCCAAACGCCCCAACCAGGCTTCACGAGGTTCCCAACAAGACCAAAAATGAACCAAAAGTGGCTCCAAGTTATCTCGAAAACCAATACTATGTTTCCGCGACGACCCCGGGACGGCGCCGCGCGGGCATCGCTTTGAACGACTCTCGTGCCATTGGCAATGTGCCCCCTCGCCCGGATTTTGCCCGTTTCGGTATTAATGGCATTGCCAAAACTTGCCCACCTGCCCGTTCGTTTGCTCTCAACGGGCGCCGCCCTCGCAATGCGGGGCCATTGCGCCAGAGTCGTTCGCAATCCCATGCCCCCACGTTCTGACCAGGCCCTTCTTCCCGCGTCGGCGACATGGCGCGACGCGCGCGTGCCTACCAGCGAATGGGCCGCCTACAATTAAGTCGGGCCTGCCCCCCTACAGGGGGACAGGCCCGACGTAAGCCTACAAGCGCGCCAACTCGAACAGCAAAGCTCTGACGTGCGTGACGAGCACCGAACGCGAAAAAGTGCCCTTGGAGCGCGCAGGCGCACCGGGGCGGGCGCAAAGACGTATAGATCGAACCCATGCCCGAGTCGCGCACGAGACAGCACAGCGCTGCCGCATGAGTTGTTGCACTCCCCGGTCGTCGTCCTCCTCCTCCTCCTCCTCCTTCTCCTCCTCGTCCTCCTCCTCCTTCTCCGCCTCCTCCTCCTCCTCCTCCTCCGCCTCCGGTCGCCTTGCGCATAATCTACGACGACGTTGATGCAATTTTTGCGAGCAAAGGAATACGGTGGCAAAACCCAACGTGGTTCTCCACGAACGCACTGGTCACCCCTCCGAGCTGGTTGGCGATAGTTTCAGCCCGTGGACGCTAGAGATGGCCAGGCTCGCCAAGCCTGGCGCTCCCAAGGCCGCCCGGGAGTTGCAAAGAGTTGTCGCCCAAAGCAAGTGCTTCTCAAATGCGCTGTCGGAGTTGAGGAGCGGTGGCGGCACGGTGTCCGAGCTGCTTGCAGCGTCCGCTGAGGATCTGGAGGGCGTGCTCGCGGCTTCTCGGGGCTGGCAGAGCTCCAGGGCGAAGAGTGCTCTGCGCACTCGGCAGCCGCAGCCCTCCTCGCGCTGCCCAGGCCACGGGCGGCACCGGAAGACACCCGCAATGGTGCTCGCCGGGAGCGGGCCCCGCCGCGTGGTGTCCCAGCGTTTGGGGACCCCGGTGTGGGCCACCGGAAAGCGGGGCAAGCCAGTCCGCAAGGTTGCCGCGCTGCACGTATAGAGCGCTGACGTTCTGCAGCTCTGGACCGTCCTCCTTCGCCAGGCTGGGTCTGCGCGCAGGACGGCTTTCGTGGACCACAGAGCTACGACTGTTGCCCAATGCGGCCCCAACGGTGTGCGGCGCATGTATCTATTTGCCTTCGGCCCCGCCCGCCGCCGCACCTGGGCGTGGCCTTTGGATGGACCGTTCGCACCTGGGCCTGGCCTTCGGACAGCCGACCAACAACCCAACAACGCAGCTAACCAAGACCCGCGAGGTAGCCGATCACGCAACCGAGCGTCAGCGCAAAAGACTCTGAGTGACCCGACTACATTCCTCACTGCGCCTCGCGGCGCGGCGGCGGACCCATACTGCGAAAAAAACACCCTGACGGACTACGCCACGCAGTTCGTTTTCTGCGAGGAGTCGCAAGTGCTATCCCGGCTCGGAGGCGCCGCGCCAGAGGAAGGAGCGGGGAAGCGACGGCGAAAACGTGGCCGCGGGCATCGACGAGCACAAGGTCGACGCCGCCGCTGCGGCGGGAGGGGCCTGAATTCGCGCCGTGCGCTTGCTGGGGCTGACGCAACAAAAACCTCCCCTCCCCGCTGTCCCACTCCTGATTCGCCTGCCCGCCTCCCCCCCCCGCCTCTGCGACGCGCGCGCGCGCGTGGAACAGGGGATGAACGGAGCACACGTAAGAGGAAGGACGTGGAATGTTTGAAGAAAGGAAGGCTGCGAAAGAAGGTGCACGGCGCGAAGCGCCAGTGCAGACTTGTGTATGTGTATATATATATATATATACGATGCATGTCTGTGTGTATATATAAATAGGTATGTATATATATATATAGATGGGGGTGTACATGTGTGCATGTATGTATGTATGCATGCATGCATGTATGCATGTGTGTATGCATGCATGTATGTATGTATGCGTGCATGCATGCATGCATGCATGCATG